TTGAGATGGTCTCACTGTAACCCCAGTAGGCCTAGAACTTGCTATGTAGACCAGGCTGGCCTCCATCTCACAGAGATCCACCTGCCTCTGCCTCTTGAGTGCTGAGATTAAAGGCATAAGCCACAATGCCTGCCTTATTTTATTTTTTGAGACAGGATCTTGTTAGCCCAGACTGGCCTCAACTCACTCTGTAACTGAGGATGACTTTGAATTCCTTCTTTCACCTGCCCTCACGCCCCGTTTATGCAGTCCTGGGGATGGAGCCCTGAGCTTCAGGCTGAGCCGGTGCTCTGCCCACTAAGCTACATCACCAGCCCTGTTTGCCTTTCTGTAGTGCAGCTTAAGATTCCACACTACATGTTTAGATCATCTATATCATCCCATACAGCTATAAAAGATGCATTCTCGTGACTGGTATGTGTTAGTGTCATCAGTCAGAGTTGGGAAAGGAAGAAATGGGGACTATTTGCTGTGTAATCCCCATTTTGCTGTTGACAGACATTGAGCAGTTGTTTCCATTTGGAGCTACGACGAACAGCACTGCTCTCAATGTTCTCAACATATCCTTTGGTGAACATCTGTCCACATTTTACTAGCTATCTCTATGCCCAAGAGAAGAATTGCTAGGTCATTAGATGTGCATGTGTTTTCTGTGACTTTATTGGCAAACAGTCTGCAAAGTGGTAGTTTTGGTGCAGAATTCCTTCCCCAAGTCTTTGTGGTGTCAGGCAGGACCTGCTGCCCATGGCTGCAATGAAACTCTACTCCAGTTACTGACTCCCATCTGCGTGGGTCTGGCCGTCCTCTTTGCTTTACCTGCTTTCCTGAGCCACCTGCCACTTTCTTAATGTTTCATACTTTCTTTTGGATATGAATCCCTAGTTGATTGTTTGTATTGGAAACATTTTCTAGTCTAGTTTGACTTTTATTTCTGATTCCTTCAATGAACCTCCTTCAAAATCTACACACCAGGCACAAGTTATGTGATAAGGCCCAGTGAACAAAAATCGACAGGACCCACCTATCTCTCCCATTGTTTAAATCTCTTGAGAACATCCTTAACTTTTTGTTATGAGTGTGATACTGTTTCTCTGTCTCTCTCTCTCTGTGGTGCTGGAAACTAATGCAAGGCTTTGAACACTCTCTGCTGATACAAGCTTTGATGTAGGAAATTTTGCTGTTGGTATAGTTCACTACCTTCCTATTTTTAACACTGCTACATCAAACAAAACAAAACAAAACCAAAAATCAAACCCACAACAAAAACAGTAGCAGTTTTTTTTTTTTTTAACCACAGGACACACTGCATGGAGATATTTAAAAACCGTTAGGATTCCTGCTTGATCCTATGCTGCCATTTAAGATTGTACCTGGATACCTGACAGCCACATCTCAGCAACGATGAACAGCATGTCTTAACCTGGAAAAGAAGGGGCTGCTTGGGAATGTGCCAGCAGTAGACCACAGGCTGTATGATTTCTGCAAGGATTCTTAAAAGGTTTGCTCTACTGGCCAAACTGAGACGATGGAACACAATTGATCAAAGTCCAGATCACTGAACTATGTCAAGTGTTGCAGAGCTGGTATGGGGCTCATGCCTGTAAATCTTAGCACTTGGGAGACAGAGGCAGGAAGATGCTGTGAGATTGAGCCTGAGCTACAAAGTGAGAGAACTCAAGACCCTATCTCAAAAAAAAAGTAACACAAGATGAAATAAAACAGGCCTAGTCTCCAGAGTGCAGAATGGCCCGAACTGCAGAATGGGCACCAGCTGGGCCCTCCAAGTCTTGCTCCCTTGGGGCAGCCCCTGCTGGGGTGGGGTAGGCTCTGGAATGTGACTTTCATCCTCACGCAGGGCAAGAGCCCTTCCAGTTGCAGATATTTGGGCTCTCAATCTAAGGGATTAGTGGGCGAATGTACTAAGCACCATGACTGGCTCCTTCCATTTGGAAGCTGGCTGTGCTCAGTTAAATCACCCAGCTCTGCAATGCCAGGACTAGCAGGCCTCAGCTCCTGCTCTTATCCTTCAAGACCCTTTCCCTGAGGGTCTGCAGGCTCTCTTCCACCTTCCTCAACTGCTTTCTTCGAATCTTTTATTACTATCTGAAATGACCCTGCTTACCTGGAGCTCACTGCCTGCCTGCCTCAATAAAACACAAGTTCCAGGAGAGCAAGGGCTGTGTATATCCTGTTTAGGCTGGCTCCCCCGAGTCTGGAACAGTTCCCAATAAATATTTTGATGAATTTGAATGAAGTCAATAAACACAGATGCAATCTGCAGAGGATCCTAAAGGTGTGAAGCCGCCACTCTCTCCCCTAATGTCATCATGTTAGCACTTGGGAAGAGAGAGAAGGTGGAAAAGGACTAGCCTGGCCTCGCCCGGGACTCATTTTGGGGTTTTTTCCTTACAGCAAGAGCGTATCTATATTTCATTTCCTTTTATTTACTGTGTTCATCTGTGTAATCATGGATGGTTAACTGAAGCATATTTGAATAGGGAGAGGAGAGGACAGAGTTCATGACATCACCACCTGAGCACTGGCTCAGGGACCACTCCTTCTGGAAGGGCAACCATTGTCAATCTGATAGCACCGCCCCAGAAAGTCCATGGTGACAGGGTCCCCGGCTGTTCTTGCTTGCTCAGATCTCATCTAACTGAGCAGAGTCTCAGGGACTATTTCAAGTAATGTGGGATTCTAACCAGGAAGAAAGCTGTTTGAATTTGCCCTGAACAGAGGGAACCCACGAGGTACAGTGATACTCACTAATTTCTATAAAGAGTTCATTTATGTTTATCGCATTTTTTGCGCTGGTCTCTACAAAAATCGCATGGATGGAGTCAGCGTAGTCCTTAGCATCTCTCTCCATGACTTCTCTGGAAGGCAACAATTGAAAATCAGAAACTCTGCCCATCAAGACCCTAGCATTATGCCCTACCCAGTAATGAAGGAGACTGTCTGGCCAGCTGTGGTACCAGCCCAGACACAAGCTCTTCCCAACTACACAGCCTATGCATGCACAAACACATTCAGGGTCATCGGCAGTGAGAATCAGACCTAGCGCAGAGAAACTGCCAATAAAATGTGCGTTTTGTGCTCAGGTACTCTGTGCCACAAAAGCCTGGGGCGGCCTGATCTCAGATATGTCGTATGTGACTCCACCAAAGTCTAAGTAAATGACACACCTGTCTACACTAATATAATTAGCTTCAAAGGCCGTAAGTCTTCATTTTCAAGTTTAGCTTGAAACTTCAGGGCCAACCACATAATGAAAAGGAATTTCTCAATGTCAGAGGTAAAACAGAAGCAAGCTCCTCACACTGGATGTGGCTCACTGAGAACACCTATCAGCCTGGGACGCTCCTGCTCCCAGTAACTCACCTGCCATCGACAAGATCGCACTTATTTCCTGCAATGGCGACGACAATATTAGGCGGACCGTGCTGGCGAAGCTCTTTCACCCAGTTCTTCAGCGTTGAGAATGTCTCCTGTGGGAGGAAAGGGAGAGTAACTGGGGACCCTAGCACCAGCCAGTCCCAAGGCTCCCAAGGAACAGAGAACACAGCCTTACTTCTTTTGTGATATCATAAACGATTATGGCTGCAGCCGACCCTCGATAATACATCGGTGCCAAGGCTCGGAACTGCAGAGGTGAGAGGAAACAAGAAAATTGGGAAAACCAGTTAAAGACCCTTCAAACTAAGCCCATTATCTCTGCACAAAAGGTAATCTTTCTCTTAAGCCACAGAAGATGACATAATGCTTTAAAGCAAATGAACCCATAATGACCAAAGGCAAAAACTTTTAATGTAACACTGAAATGCCTCTCAGAAGATAGTTTAGAATACAGTTTTATAGGCATTAAATATGGTGCTATAAACAACTGTTTCAGCTAAAAAAGCTTTTTAATTGAACTCAGTGTTGTAATTCCCAAATTCATTTGTTCAATAGTCCTTTAAACTTTGGCTTCCCAAACTATCAAGGAGATAAAAATAATGCTGTAACAGTTCTCCAGAGATCTGGCTGCATTGGGGTGTCATGGAGATCACCCTGTAATCTAGATGCAGATTGTCCTAGACACGAATGCACATTTAAAAGTCACTACTTGAAGGAGTTTGTAACTTGCTTTTCTGGTACCTCTGAGGACGTGGCAGTTCCCAAAGGCCTGGTCTTAGTCCACTTCCACAGACTTAACACAACAAGTGCAGCTTTTGCTGTGTCCTCCTACCACACAGGAGAGGGACTTGGAAGGGGAGAAATCATTCTCACAGCAAGGGTGATCCAGTGGGCTACTTTATCCAAGGAGTGTGAGTTGGAAATGTGAAGCTCTTTCCTCATTCAATTCTGGGTCCCAGGCAAATGCCCAGGGTGGCTTTCCAAATGCTACTCTGGTACTTCAAGACTTGGGCTTCATCTTACACCCTGACTCAGAAGCCTGGTTCCTCCGAGTGGTATGACATCCCTGTACCATGCCCCCTTTACAGTGGCGAACCCCGAACCCTTATTTTTGGGGGAGGGTGGGGGTTGGAACAGGGTCTCTCTGTAGCCCCATCTGGTGTGGAACTCGCTATGTAGACCAGGCTGGCCTTGATCTCATCTACTGGGATTAAAGTTGTGTGTCACCACACCTGCTAGGTGTTTACCTTTTTGAGTAAAGCAGTAAAATTATGATCGCAATCCCTGTGAGGGAAGGCATGTCTGCTTGGCACGTTCTACGATCTAGGGGCCTAACATGGACCTTGTGCTCTATAGGTAATCAAGAGCTGTTAAGTGAATGAGCAAGAACTGTATAATGCTGGATGTCAAACTCAGTGCAGAGCCATGGAAACCTGTCTTTTTAGAAAAATGCCCACCTCTGGGTAAAAGCCTGCTTACATTCCAATGGAACAAAAACAAGGGCTGTAAATACTAGAAAGCACATCAAAAGACAAAATTACATCATTAGGTGAAAAGATTAAAGGAGTGGTGGTGGCTTACTCCTGTAATTCCAGAGCTTGGGAGGCCAAGGCAGAAAACTGCTGTAAGTTCTAGGTCAGCCAGGGCTATTTAGCCAGATACTGTCCCCCTAACTCCCAAGAAAGACTTAAAATGTTGGACTGACTTGCACAGTGTAAGGGGAAATGATGCAGCAGTGTGTTGCGGAGGTGAGGCCATGGAGCAGTCTCTGTTTTGCACAGATATGGGTTAGCAACACCCTTTTAGGACACTTCGTTCTCTTCAGATTTTAAGGTAAAATTCACACCAAGAAAAGCAGGTTATGAGCATACAATCTGAGAGCCTGATGACTGTAAGGGTCCATGTGATGCTATTCACCACCACAGAAAACATTTCTATCAAGACAGAAAGTTCCGTAGTATCTCCAGCCTTGATAATGCTGCCTGTCTTCAAGGCCATCTGCCTACATGAAGATAACTACAGTCATCTTCCTTTGTTCACGATATGCACAGAATATCCTTTTCTATCCTCTCTCTCTCTCTCTCCATCCATCCTCTTTAACCAACAGTGTGGTCCTGCTGCATGGCTGCACGGTACAATTTCACCGCCTCTACCTTCTAGGTGGGATGCTCAGTTCCTTTCTGTTTAAGGATGTGACTGGACACAGGTTTCCTGCTTTGTTTCAACACTGGCCAAATTTATAAATTTATAAAATGCCTCTATCCCCCCTTCTCCTTTCTTCCTCTTTTCTACCATGACTAATTTTTAGTATCCCTGGTTGGTCTTGAATTTACTATGCAGCCAAGTGATAACCCTGACTCCTGACCCCTCTGTCTCTGTGTCATGAATGTCAGGATTACAGGGCGCCCTGCCCAAGTGGTGCTGGGAGACAACCCTGGGCTATGTGCACAGAAGGCAGGCACTCCACTGCCTGAGCCACACCTCTAGCACTCTTCCATTTACTTTTCACCTGCACTTTCTTGCATTACTGTTTAAGTGGTTGTTCTTGTAACTGCAATACAATTTTTCTATTCCTAGTTTAAAATGTATCATCTCGGGGGCTGGAGAGATGGCTCACTGGTTAAGAGAACCTATAGCCCTTGTAGAGGACCTGAGTTTGGTTACTAGTACCAATGTCCAGTGGCTCACAATTACCTATAACTCCAGCTCCAGGGGATCCAATGCCCTCTTCTGGCATGTACCCCACACATAGACACAGACACAGACACATAATTTTTTAAAATCTTGAAAAGTATTTCACTTCATATAAAATATCATAATCTTGAACAGTTATAACCCCCTTTACTTCTTCACCGTTCTTTGACTACTGTTACCAAATGCTTCAGATGCATTATGCACTACACACTAATTTTTTAATTGAATAGCCAGTTCTTCAGGAAAAAAAAAGAGAAAGAAATGATTCCCTAGTTATCATTTCCAGAGCTCATTACTCCTCATTACTCCTCTGGGAATGAAGGACCACCTCATGTCACTTCCCTGTAGTCTTAAAAACCTTGCTGGGACTGTGGTTGGTGAATTCTTTGCTTTTGTTTTTCTAACACTGTCTTTGCTTTCTATCTGAAAGCTGTTCTGGGCAGATGGGCTGTATACATGCTTTCAGCATGTCAGTAATTCTGTCCCACTGGCCTTGTCCCCACTGTTATTGTGAGAAGTCAACCACATGTACACTGCTGTCTGCTATACAATGTCCCCATGGTTACTGTGAGAAGTCAACCACATGTACACTATGCTGTGTGCTATACAATGTCCCTATGATTACTGTGAGAAGTCAACCACATGTACACTGTGCTGTGTGCTATACAATGTCCCTATGATTACTGTGAGAAGTCAACCACATGTACACTGTGCTGTGTGCTGTACAATGTCCCATGGTTACTGGGAGAAGTCAACCACATGCACACTATGCTGTCTGCTATACGATGTCCTCCTGGTTACTGTGAGAAGTCAACCACATGCACACTATGCTGTCTGCTATACAATGTCCTCCTGGTTACTGTGAGAAGTCAACCACATGCACACTATGCTGTCTGCTATACGATGTCCTCCTGGTTACTGCGAGAAGTCAACCACATGCACACTATGCTGTCTGCTATACAATGTCCCCATGGTTACTGTGAGAAGTCAACCACATGCACACTATGCTGTCTGCTATACAATGTCCCATGGTTACTGTGAGAAGTCAACCACATGTACACTATGCTGTGTGCTATACAATGTCCCCATGGTTACTGTGAGAAGTCAACCACATGTACACTATGCTGTGTGCTATACAATGTACCTCTCTGCTTTCAGGGTTTTCTGTTTTTAAAAACAATTTTATCATTTTATTCTCTTTGAGTGTATTGCCTGCATGTGTTAAGTGTAATGCCCATGGAGGTCAGAAGAGGGCATTAGATCCCCTGGAACTGGAATCTCGATGGTTGCTAGCTGTCATGTGGGTGCTGGGAACCAAACCTGGGTCCTCTGCAAGAGCAATCAGTGCTCTTAACCACTGAATCATCTCTTTAGCCCCTCAAGAGTTTTCTCTTTAAAAAAAAATTTATGAGCCGGGCGTGGTGGCGCACACCTTTAATCCCAGCACTCGGGAGGCAGAGGCAGGCGGATCTTTGTGAGTTCGAGGCCAGCCTGGTCTACATAGCAAGTTCCAGGACAGCTGGGGCTACAGGGAGACCCTGTCTCACTAAGACCAAAAAAAAAAAAAAAAAAAAAAATTTATGACCAGCATCCACATGGCAGCTAACAACTGTCTGTAACTCCAGTTCCAGGGGATCCGACAGCCTCTTCTGACCTCCACGGGCAGAGCACAACATGGGTGCACTTACCTACATGGAGGCAATACATGCACACACATAAAATAAAAATAGAAAAAAATTAAATTTTTTTTAATGTATACGAGTTGTTGACTATATATATGTAAGTGCAATGTAATGTGTGCGTGCAATGTGTGAATGCAATGTCTATAGAGGCCAGAAGTAGGTGTCAGATTCTGGATCTATGGACGGTTGTCAGGTGCCATGTTAGGTGCTAGGAATTAAACCAGGGTCCTCTGCAAGGGCAGCCAGTGACCTTAAACCGCTGAGCCCTCTCCCAGCCCCTGGAGTTTTCTCTGTTTGCACCTCTCAGCAGTTTGATGATGAGACACCCAGGTCCAGCTTTTGTTGTACTTTCAAGTTTGCTGAACTCTCTGGATTTGTGAGTTATCACCTCACCAAACGTTGAAAGAGTTTAGCCTTACTTGCAGAAACCCTGTCTTTTACTCCCCGACCCCTTCTCTCCTCCCTTCCCTAGGTCTCCAGCTATACTTTGCTGGCTGATGTGGCCCTGGGGTCCTGGTGCTGCTCATATTTTTCTGCGCTCTCCTCCCTGTTCTTCCAAGTTATCTGTTCTATCTGTTGTCCACCCAGCAACTTCTCTTAGATGCCATGGCTTTTAATTTTAGATTTCCATTCTGCATGAGCTTTTCCATTCATGGTTAAGTCTAATGCACTCAATCTCTGGACATATTTGAAGGCCCGCTTTCAATCCTGCAGCTGCAGATTCCAATCACAGGGTCCTGTTGGTGCTCACTGCTTCTCTCCAGGCGCTCTCTCCTCGTGTCCACACATGTGTAACAATTCTATGAACTGCCCCGTGGTTGACACATTGTCACGTCTGAAGAGTGATGAATAACTGGCACCGCTTCTTCTT